CACAGAAGTTTTACAAACACCTATATGTATAAGTACAAAAATACCCAGGTAATTAAAGTAAGCAATTACTTTAAATCAATTATAGCGCGTATTCTTTTTCAGCACAGAGAAACTTCATAAAAAAAAAAATTGTTAAAACTCAGGCACACACATTAATTAATAAATATTCTTAGAAATTTGTATGTGCTAAATCTGTTTAACATTTCAGAATTTCCCAACTTCTGAAACCACATATGTTTAATTATCACAATATTTTTATATTCTACAATGATATGGAGATATGGTGATCTCTGAAATAGCAACTAAAACTTACACTATTTGTAAAGTTTTGTCAAAAATTTTTCTCTAAAAACAGTCACAGGATCAATAAAATTGAGGAATATAAATTGTTATTAAGCCAAAAAATAACAAAAAAAAAACAAATTTTGTTTAGCCGTTAGTTTTTTGTAAGAACCTAAAAAAAACTGCTCACTAGTTCCACTTTCAAAGGGCTGTTTCCAGCTTTCAAGAAATACAAAAATTCATATAAAACACCGCACAAGAAAAAATTACAAATATTTCTTGTAATTTTTCTTGAGAGCTGGATTCAAGCTTAACGTACTTCAAAGAACGGGAAGGTTCTCAATTCATCGAACTATACATTTTTTAATGTTACCGGACAACTTTAGACGTGAACCGCTTTTGATATTTTTTTTAGTTCCGATCAGTAGATCATTAAGAAATTAGCGATCTTGGTATTATGCCTTAGCCAACATAACGATCATTTGCCGCAGCATAAATTGAAATTCTCGCTTTTTCCCCTGCAACGAACTGATTTGTTTAACATGGCGTTGTTCTAGGAAGCAGTCATTTATCCGACTCTGCATTCGATTTCAATTACTTTAAAATGCATTTAAGCCAAAATCATTAATTTTCTTTTGAATACGCTTTCGTTCTGCACTTCACAGATGCTGTTTCATACTTCCTAGATACAAATTTTTTCCTTGACTAAAAAGAGTATCAAAATTGAGAAAATTTACTCACTGCATTTATTTCAAAGTATTCTTTCAATTAATTGATTTAAAAAAAAAACGCCTTCTTACGTCAGGGTGTGTACATACATACATATATATGTATATGAACCTACACACATGCACAGATACGTCTTTTTAAATTATCCGTAGCATCTAATATCTCATTTACCGCATTTGATATACATATAAACACATATGAGGAAAGGTGAAAGGTGCAACTAAAAATATGCAGTTAATTCGAAGTCAACTAACCTACTGACTGCTGATTTAACTTACAGTCATAAATTGCATACATAGGAAAATCAAATAACAACCAAAGTTAAAGAGGGAGAGCCAAAATCAAAAAAAAAACAGGTATTAAGTAAAAGAGAATTTAATTTGAAATTAAGTTTTAGTGCATACTTTAAAAGCTTATTCGTAAGAAATTTGTTGGAGGAAAATAAAACATTAATTCGGAATTTGCTATGGTTCGATAAGCTCGTAGATATTGTAATATCTATGTACATACATAAATGCTTACTCATGTACTACATACATACATATGTATGTAGAAAGTATGCATGTAGAGTGAAACCCCCTTAAGTGCATCCCGCTTAGCTAACCAGCTTAAGCAACACACATATTTTTTTTTTTATTATAATAAATCAAATATCTCGTTTATAAAGGAAATTCATTTAGAAAAGTAAAAGAAATCTGATGTATTATGGAACGAATTTCCGTCATCCCTTGTCAAATTTGGTTTGGAGACAAACCGGTTTGACAAGGGATGACGGAAATTCGTTCCATAATACATCATACACCCACCCTGTCGGAAACAACAACAACCAAAAAGGAAATAAAAGAAATCTATTTGTTTTACCCTTCATATTGAGAGTATACTGTAAACGAGAAATTAATTTTAAGCACAGTTAGATTTAACCGTGCACTGAAAAACTGGCCCTAAATACAAAAAACACAATAACTCAGCGACTAAAGCACTTAATCGTTAGCGCGGAGGCCAGCACAAAAAGTTTTTGATCGATTTGGTTGAAATATTGACCAAATGTAGAGCTAAATTTTTTTGGGGAAGCTAAATTTAAGGCATATTCAACAAGGTAGAAATTATGTCGACCGTACTCCTTTTTGGACAGTGACTGAAATGCTAACGTAGAACGAAATATTTGAAATTTTTTTGACAATTTTTTTTAATACATTTTTTTTGTGTGTTTTTTTTTTAATACTACAGTCTCTAAAGCCAAAGAGGTTTTTGCAGTTTTAAAGGGGTAGTTAATAGAGTTCTTTTACCACTTTTGTTAGTCTCACACTAGAATACGAATCTATTGTTTGGAATCGTCGCAATCAAGTTCATTCAGACAGGATTTTATCAATTCAAAAACAATTCTTACAATCCCTAGGCGCCTAAAGCTAATTAATTTGCCGACATTTGCAAGTCATTAAAAATGCTAGGTATAATAATTGTGTAAAATTAATGACAGCCTTGATTTATAGCCCGCCTCTTCTGGCTAAAGCAATCGTTAACGTTCCCTTTCGAATATCAATACACTTTCGACCTGCGTTTTTAAAGCCACGCAAAACTAATTTTGAATTAAACGACGCATTCCATTGTTTGTGTCAAGATTTTAACTCTCATTCCAGCGCGTTTGAGATATATCGGACTCGATTTTTACTGTAAAGAATGCCTTACATTCCTCTATCATAAAATGAAGTAATAAGTAAATGAAGTAGTATTCCCGGAGTCTTGCAAAGCCTTTGTACGAAGCACGGATTGCACGATGGAAGCCGGTTTTCTTAAAGGACAGCTTTGCAAACCTGTCCGTGCACCGTGCTAGGGCTTTGCAAGTCTGCGAGAACACCCCCTAGGTTTTTCGCAAATCTAATAGCTGAATAGATTTAGATCTCGACCCCAGCTTCTGCATTTCATGAAATGGAACCAAAAAAACAAAAGCACCAAAAAATTCTGGGTTGGAGTAGAGTTAAAGCATTGGGCTTAGTTATAATTAAAATAATCAAATAAAGTACCTAAATAAAATTGCCGAAAAAACAATTGAGTGTTTGGGAAGAGTATTAGAAACACTGAGATTTGCATTTTTTATTATTTTTCGCTTGCACGTATAAGAAGAAATTTGTCATTTGGCATTTCAAACATTAAGCCCCTTTAGTCTTTTTTTTCGCACATGCCAATAAAAATTTATAATTTTCGGGCTACGAAAGATATTGCACCGCTTAACCCTTTGTCTACGGCGAAAAAAACTAGCACTGCCTACCGTTCGGGTATGTTGGACCGCTATGTAAGTAACACTGTGGGTCCAAAGGATCCAGACTTGTAGTTCCCGCTAGATTTGCAATTGCAATACCAATTATTAAAAAGAATTAACATTATCAAAAAGTATAGACTACATAAAAATAAGCAAAGTAAAGGAGCTACAGAGATCAAAAGCATCAGACATTGATGTGGGAACACAATATAACCTCGCCGGTAGACAAGGGGGTAAGCATATGGTCAAAAATGTTGTAAGACTTTAAACGAAGATCTTTGGTTTTGTTACATTTGATATACATATATAATAACATAATATGTTCCTGAATTCCAAATACACCAAATATATAAATATGGTGATATATACACTTATTACAAAAGCTCCAAAAATTTAAAAATCAGCTGGTTGGTGAGTACCTTAACTCTTCTACAATGATTGGGCCCAAATGACCCTAATTTCAAGAAAAAAATATTTTATTACATAGTTAACTAATTCCAATCAAGCTTTGACATAATATATTCATTAATATCATCACGGGCTATAGTTCTCGGGCGAATTACAAATATTTTTTTTTACTTTCTTTGCAGAAAAGTGAAATACTTTCTTCATATTATATAGGCTTTTTAATTTTAATGTCTCAAATACACATATGTATATCTGGGATACTTAGTCTTTACCTAGTTGAACTTGCAAACCAGGTGATGAATTTGCAAAACTTTCTTGGAACGAAATGAGACAAAGTATACCATTGTTTTTGGCCATAAGAAGATATTTAAATACATGTGTTGGCTGCAACCAAAGACTTGTACAAATAGACAAAGTACAAATATATTGGAAATTCATAATTTAATAAAACAATTACTGAATTTAAATTAAAATAATGGGTTTCTGCCTCAAAACTGATTAGCTACTAACATTGTAGCAAGGGGTAAATTCGAAACAAACAGAAGTGTTAAAAGTTTGCATTTTCGAGTGGAGCTTTAAACCGGGTTTTACTGCAAGTACATATATTAACTTTGTTAGTTTAGAAAATTACATAAGCTTTGTATGTTGGAAAGCATTTTTCGCGCATTGCTCATATTTATTTAGCCAGAGCAATGCAGTTTTTGATACCACTACGCTAAGCTTGCACTGTTATAATATTATTATTTTTTTTCTTAAATAAAGCACAACCAACATAATATTAATAACTCTTTTAATCGCAACATTTGTTTTCGCCTTTAATTGTTATTTATGGATTTGGCTTTCTACTCGTCGTTTCCTTTTACGAATTTTTTTCGCACAAACTCAATTCAATCGAAAGCTATGTAGTACCTATTTAAGGTGAGGGCCGAGGGGAAGTGGAGCCGATTTGCGGCCTGAAGTGTTCAAATGTAGTTACTTGGAGGGGATTTCTTCATTTCTGGTTTCACGTAAATTCAACGATTTAAATGATTAATTGGATGTTTATAGACTTTTATTTTATTTTTAACATTTTCGCAATTTAGTTTTATTTAAACTTTTTTTATAAACCTTAACTCAAGTGTAACCTTGAAGTAAGCACCAAATCATTGGCAGATAGTATATCTCAACTGGACTTTCATATTGAGATAAAGGGTTAAGAGATGAGGGGGTGCAGGTAACTTTATACATACTACATATATAATGGCAAATTTTTTGTTTGCGAAAATCTACTTGCATACTCGTATGTATGTACATACTAATATACTTTTCTAACTGTAATACATACACCAACGCACAGCGATTTGCACAAGCACGAAAAAATTCGGGCACAAACGAAAACGACAGCGTTTCAAGTGACGAAATGACGCTACGACCAAATGACGATGCCGAAAACAATACACAACGGATACGAGAAATTTGCCAACTATGTACTACACTCGGTTTGGTTGGCGAATGATGATGGCTTACAATTGAAATTGCGTTGACTATGGACCGTCACGAAATGTACAAGAAAAAATTTTGTTGTAGCATTAAAAGACGAAGTCACCAAATCCGGCTGCTCTGTACCGTTTTTTGGGCGAAGTTTAAGCGTACGATTTTGCTTGATCCAAAAAAAAAAAAAACGCGCACTAAGTATTTCACTTTAACACTTTTTTTTTCACAGACTACTATTTATTTTGTGCAAACACTTTTGTTAATTAGATATCAAACTTGCAATTATTTGCACATATACAACAATTATTTCGCTTTTTTCATAGCTCTGTACAAGCGAGCCGAACACCGAAGGCGAGGTTAGCGTGCGACTTGTGCGAAAGATGCGATTGGACGACAACACGAAATATACGCGACAAATCGTCAACAAACGAACCGTTCGTAAACACGCTCCAACTAAAACTGAACCGACTGCCGATTGACTCCAATACTTTGGGCTGCGGGCGCTCCATCAGCCATCAGCTAACTCCAATAGTAGTAGCGAAGGCACATTTTCACCAACGTACAATGCTGAACGATGCTCACATTTTGGAGTAAGTAGTAGTGAGCGAGTAAATGTGCGCTGGGTGAGTAAAGCTGATGCCACATAAAACTTTTGCTTCGCTTTACGTGACAGATTCGCTTTGACAGATAAGATGAATTGTATGAAAATGCACAAAGCATGCCACATAAATCGTCGAAGCTGCAGCGCGAAGCGAAAAGATGGCCAACTCCCATCTTTTTGCGCGCTTTGACAATCAGCCAGTTTAATATTTATTTTGTTTCGTCCAAATTCGAGTTTTCATGCAGAAACATAAAACTTAATTACATTGCTGATAATTTTAAAGCAAAATATATGAAATCCACAGCAACTTTGACTAGTAAAAAAGCGGTACAAAATTGTTTTCTTGGCGTTCATTGTGGCATACCTTTTGCGTTTGGCGCTTTGCTGGCAAAGTTATAAATGTCACGCAAAGCTACAAAGTTTTATCTGGCATCAGCTTAACACTGAGAAGTCGAAGTCGAAACAATTAACAGCAGTAACTGTAGCCCCAACGAAGGTATGTATATAGATGTACGCACATTCATATGTATATCTGCAAATGTGTATATACGTTTGTTTGCCTTAGCATAGTCACGACGACCTCGCCGGCTCCAACGTTGTTGAAATTCATATGCACAAGTACATACATACGTACAAACACACACCTTCTCCCCTCCCTCCACACACACAAATGTGTACAACTAACATTCGTGACTTTGTCGGTAATTTAATGTTTGATCATCGGTGAGTGGGGTTTTTTAAAATATGAAAAAGCAATAATGAGCACTGAAATATGAAACACAAAGCAAATGATTGCAAGATAATTTAGTGTTGTTGTAGCGCTGCTACTTGATAAGTGTGATTAAATTGAGTTGAGATTTGATTTCTAATGTTGACGAAGGAGAAAAATGTCAGAATGAAGAGATATGGCTGAGTGTGAATTGCTCACATACATTGTATATATTGTGTACATAGATACATATGTATGTATTTTGCAAATTAAAAATAAATTGAAACCTTTTCACGCTGTTGTCAAATCCGAATACTAACACGAATCTTCGCTATAATTGAAACAAAAAATAGTAAACAGCAAGTACATTTAACAGCAACAACTTCGTACTCGCGAAAAGGCAAACCATCAACAGGCAACTAACAGCATTCAACAATGTTAACAGCGCAATGTAAATAAGAGTTATGTTATAGAGCTGCACTTCCGGAAAGCTGTTAAAAGCGCTGTTAATGTAGACTGTTAAACATATGATATGTTACATACGCGCGCTCTTTTCACTGCTTCGTACAACTATAGCAACTTTTCAACAATCAACAACTGAAGATGCGCTCAATGCCTGCACTCTTAATTAATGCATTCATTCGCCTTGCATCGGCGACTTTTCTACAATGCAGCATTTGTTTTTGCATTAACATAGTAGATATGCTGTTACTCACGCCCTGTTAACCACAATTGCTCCACACTCACTCCTATTTCACTTCCGCTGTTTTCTTTAACATTTGATACCCATGCCGCAACAAATGTTGCTAAACAAGTTTTGATGCCGGAAAGAAAAGTCAACACTTCCGGCTTTATTGTTGAACTGTACCAGTGGGTTGTTATTGTTGCTGTGTTATCCAATTTGGAGTTGAAAAAATGTATAAACTAAGAGCTGGCATGTGTAGATATTTGCGCTCTTAATCGGGAATTTAAGAGCCTAGTGGAGTTCAAGCAGTAAAACGATTTATGCATTTTATTTTGCATACAAAACAATTTTGTTGAGAAATGTGACAACTGGGAGCGGCAGGTAGTAGAGATGCAACAAGCGTTTCTGTTACTGGCAAACTGGTTTTTTTTTTATCTATTACATCGGTTGAGAAAATGTTTAGGAAGATTAGGTAATTTGCCTTCGAGCAGATTGAGTCATTTGTTGAGATAGTGTGGAGGAGTAAAGAATTTGTGTAGGGGAAAGATATTAAACAGGTATCTATATATATTTTTTTTTTAGGAATTAGCGCAATTAATGATATTAACATAGTATATCTGTACGGAACAGAAATATCCATGGAGGGCGACTTAAAACCAAATTATGTTAAACGTACATTAGGGTGGTCCAAGCAAAGTAAAGTCGGGATTTTAACGCTCTCACCCCTAAGATTGTTTTATAATGAAAATAAATAAACCTCTGTTGCAATTGTTAAACATGTCATATGTTGTATGCAGAAAAAATTTTCGTTAAAGAAAACCAGCGATGGATACAATTTTTTCGTCATATTTTTGAGAAATAATATTTAATCACTGCCTTATTTTTACCGGAATAAAACCAGATTTGCAGCTAATGAACAAGGCGTATTTTATAACCTTTCCCAACAAAATTTTAACAACTGCATTCGACACAACCAACGACCACTGGTTCTTATATAATTTATTTCGAAGAATCAGAATCTATCCTTCATGTATTCAATTGGCTGTAGGTTTTCAGATATTGGGAATTCAAAGTGACAAAAACGGAATTTTGTAATTTTTTCACTTCTGCAGAAAGACATAAAAGTGAAATATAATCTTTCGGCCAGTATAAAATAAAAGCTTAAATATAGACCTTCTAGCTTCAAGCAAGAAGAAAGATTCCTAAAGCATATAGCTTTAAAATTTGTTTTTAAAAACAGCAAATTTATTTAATTTTATTCTATTGAATTCAATAAAATTTTATATAAGTTTCGTTTTAGGAGCTCAATTTACTTGTAAAATATTTAAAAAATGCGTGAATAATTAAAGACATGTAAGTAAATATGTTGAAATTTTTGTAAATTTTGGTAACCCACTCCGATATAGTCATTCGAGAAGAATATATTCGGCCTTTTATAATATAATAGCCATAATTTTTATTTAAAAAGCATGTCTTTGTTCCTAATTTTTGCTGAACATATACTTTTTTTTTTCTTTGAAGTAAAGCGTAAATGCTGTTCAAAATATTCCATTTTGCGTCCCTGTTCTACTAGAAAAGTTCAAAAAATAAAAAAAATGCTTTTAAAAGTCACATTCCTAATC